CGCCCTTGAGGTTCCCAAGCACAAAGAAGCAGCTCCTGGGGCAGGCTTCCGTGGCCTCTATCCCCAGCACCTATACACTTTTGGGGGGCCTAAAAGAGTCATCTCATTTGCTTCCTCTTGCCCACGCCCTTCAGGTCCCCAAGCACAAAGAAAAAGCTCCCGCAGGGTGCTTCCGTGGCATCTGTTCTCTGCGCTGTTCCAGAGCCGCCCAAAGAGGAGCCACAGCCGAAGGAGGACACGCCGCAGCAGCCGCAGCCGAAGGAAGGTGCTGTTTTTTTTTTTTGGAGAAGAACCCCCTGAGAAGGGGTTTTGTTTTGTGATTTGGGTGTGTTGCTTTGTGGCAAATGAAGCCTTGGCAATTTCCCGTATGCCTTCCTTCAGTCCATTGCGACGCAGGAAAGTATAGATTCGACCCAGATCCAACAGTCTTAACTTTTGTTGAGAATTCCCCAAAATCAAACTCTTTTAGTCCATCGCAACGCCCTTGCCTTTGCGATGCAGACACAGCTGCAGCACGACATGACTCGCAGCCACTATTAGTTTGCATGAACACTTTTGAGGCGCCTCAAATGCAGACACAGCTGCAGCACGACATGTCTCGCAGCCGCTATTAGTTTGCATGAACACAATGCAAGCGGTGCGTTACGAGCAAAGCAAAGCTCGCACCCCCGTGTCTTTGGCTGTTGCTTGCACCTTCCCCTTCGCCTATGGTGCGGATCCTGCCTGTGCGGTGCTGGGCTGTGAGCCGGATGGCAATGTAAGGTGGCATTCTCATCTTTGTTTGTTTCCCCTCTCTGTTCGCCTCTGCTTCTGCTGCAGATCCTGCCTGTGCGGCGTTGGGCTGTGAGCCGGCGGGTGGCAAATGTGAGGTGGATGGAAACGGAGAGCGCTACTGCAAGTGGGGTGAGTGAGCATGCTGTTGCTGCCAGTGGGGTGAGTGAGCATGGCGGTGCTGCCAGTGGTGTTCGAGCGTGGATTTCCCTCTTTCCCATTCCCATCTCAAGTCATGCGTATTGAATTCAAGCCATCCAGGCCCATACCTCATGCATTCGTGCATGGTGCATCGACCCCATGCCACCCGATAGCTCATGCATTCCTCCATCAAACGCATATAACCTCACGCCTCGTGCATTTGTATATCTTTTACTTGATGCCATCTTCCCACCCCACGAGAGTGAGTTGTCGGCGTTTCTGCCAGCCTACTCCTTTCCCTCTCGTTTTCTTAAATCCCCACTCCTCTACCAGGCATACTGCACTGCACCCACACCCACCCCGCATTCACGCGTATCCCACCGGCCCTCTTTTGCTTCTCCCATGTTCTCCGTCTCCCTTGCTTCTCCCCATCTATCCTTTTGGAGCCTCAATTTTCCACGAGCAGTTGCACTCACATCCCGCACTGCACCCATCCCCACCCCTCAGATTCACCCTGTGGCACCTGCCTCGCTGCAGCCTCTAACTAAACCCCCCTTGCACTCACATACCGCACTCCACCCATCCCCACCCCTCAGACTCACCCCGTGGCAGCTGCCCCACTGGAACCACGTGCAAAACCGTTCCTGCGACCTCCAGCAGCGGAATTCCGGTACAGCTGCCTTACTGCGCTTGTCCTGATGGCTATGGGATGACCGAGACCAGCTGTGTTGAGGGTGAGTCTCCACTTTCCCCTCTCCCGCGTTACTTGTGAGAATTCTCAAAACCTGTGTTGAGGGTGGGTTTCCACTCTCTCCTCTCCCGCGTTACTCTCTCCTCACCTCACGAGCCTTGCTGCAAGTGCCTGCGCTCAAGGCTTTGGGTTGGGATGACCCCCACTGAATATGCTGCGGGTGAGCTTCGGCACTCCCCTCTCTCGCCCCACTCCCTCCTCTCCCACTCGCCGTGCTCTCTCGTCTATCTATTCCCACCGTTCAGATACAAAGCAGTATGTACAACGATACTATGGACGAAGATGCAAACGAAATTTCCAAGTCCTTTTTTCCATTCTCTCTCAGGAGGAAAATCCACAGTCGCTTCCACCAGCATCACACTCGTTGCAGAATGGAAAGCCAAGGACAATACCTCCCGGCCCTACACCCTCCGCTGGAACCTCAATGGGTGCACTCAATACCCAGCTGCAGTGGCTGGAAATTACAGATCAGAGTATCTTCTTGCCAACATCAACAGCACTGCGGATTGCCGTGTTGCCTACCAATACTATACGGACAACTGTGAAGGCCCTCCCAACCATGTGATTTACCTGAATGACGATCCGTATTATCCGTCCGTCATGGTGTAAGTGATTGACTGGCCCTTCTCCATCTTCATCATTCCTGCGCTATCTTCTCGCTTCCCTTTCTGCTCCAATGCTCCAGTTGTCAGGGGCAACAGTCCTGAGTCATCCTTTCCTCTGTGTCATCCCCTTGTTTGCACCATTCTCCAGGGGCATGATTATTCCTCAACTCACTCGCTCTGCCAAGTGTGGTTAGTGGGTTGCTTGCCTTCACTCATGAGAGTGCCATTTGCACCTGCTAAATCTCGGAGAAGATAATTTCTTTAGCTCAGCAGAGACCGAGCTAAGAAGCAACTTTCATTGCATTCTTTCCTTGCAAGTACAGCACCTACATTGTATACAGTGGTAATTATCGTATCTGTAGTTTGATATGTGTTTGGAATACTGTATGTGCAATGGCTTTGTCCTGAATGGAATGTGCTGACTTGTCATTTTGCAAGGAGGTTTGATGGTAAACCAGCTTTCGAGTATGATGTTTTGTTCTTTATTCGGGTGCAATAAGTACAGCCGAAAATGCTGTTAGGGGGTACGGCAAAAATTGACCAGCCACGCAACTTCAGTGTGCATGAAAGTCACGCCTTTTCTCTCTCCCTGCGAGTTGTCTTGCGAGTCACACAGTTGTGCTCAGGTAAATCACCATATCAGGACACGCCCCATGTCCAGTTGTGCTTCTGGGTTTTCTATTTTCCATACTTAAAGCGACGGGCAACTTTTGGCAGTGTTGGGTTCAGAAGTTTTTTTTTTTTAACCAGTGCTGGCTGGCGAAAACCAGGATTTCGTGCGGACACTTTCCATCCGCAGTAACAGTTCGCCAGGGTTCTGGGTTTTGGGTGGCAAATGTGCACCGTCGCTTTAAAGCCAGGATCTCAAGTAAGAGAAATTGGCTTCAATTGCAAAACACTTGCAGCTCGAGTCACCCTGTTTGTTTAGGCGAAATCGAGTGGTTGGGTTGGAGGTTCAGTGTGCGACTGATCCCCGATTTGCCCGTGAATCTCAATTGCAAAACAAATTGCTGTGCATGAGATTTTTCGGCAAGTGAGACACATTGCTGGGAAATGAGCTTCGGAACCCAACCAGATTTCCGTGCCTAGTTGGTTCGGAAGTTCACTGCGGTTTTTGTTTGCTTCGCATCCCTCGTTTCAGCTCTCGTCAACTACTCTACCTCGTCAACCAATCACAGCCTAACACAATTCACTAACTGCAAAACAGCCAAACTACTTGAGATCCTGGCTTTAAGGCGGCACGCTCATTTTCCTGGCAATCCCCAAAACAGTTACCAGTTTCTGGGATTTGTAACATTGGTTTAGGGTACCGGCGCCAGGCCCCACGTTTTCAGAGTAAATTACTCTGTTTCTCTGAAAATCAGAGTTGTTTTTGAAAGGAACTCTGTACCTGCTGGGTTTTGAATTTGGAAGTTGAGTTTTCTCTGATCTATCAGAGTTTTTGTGTAGGCTACTCTGAGGCCTCTGGGTTTTTTTTCCCAAGGATCGAGTTTACTCTGTACAGAGGATACATGCCCCCTAGCCGCCCCTCCCCCCCCCCCCCACACAAAATTACTGGTGTTCCCCCGAATCGCCGAGATCACACTGCTGATTTCGGTCATGTGTTGGCGGCAATATGAGCGCCGATTGGCTAGTTTCTCAACTTTCTCAGCCAACGCACAATGTCAGCCACTTCCCTCTCAGTCAGTTTTTCGGCGCCAACACTTCAGAACATAACTCGGAATTGAGGGATGATACAGGTGGTGCTCGGCTGGCTCACGAGGGAGGAAACGTGGGCGACGAGGTTCGGGAGCGTTGGTGCTCGGCTGGCTCACGGAGGCAAACCCCAGTTTCTCCTCTCATTTCACCCATCCGGCTTGGGCATTGTCCCGACCCGACCCGACCCGACCCGACCCGTTTAGGGTACCCGAGGGTGTATTCGGGTCGGGTCGGGTACCCGACCTCGGGTTTTCTGGGTCAAATTGTGTACCCGACCCGTTATGTAACCCTCGGGTAGTTACAACCCGTGGTCGGGTCGGGTACACCCGAGCCCGGGTCGGGCATACCCGTTAGATTGTGTTGCTTTAAGCATTCTGGGTTATTCATAATCTGTTTTTGGCATTACAGGTATGTAAGCTGGCAGGCATTTGTGTATTGATGGCAATGTGACAGCTTTGTTTGCAAACCCGTGCTCCAGCACAAATACAAGAATACAATGTACGTTTTAGGAGATCTGAACCTGCACGGGCCTACCGCTGTCACAGCTATCATTGTATGTCTTCCCAATAAATTAATAATATTTCAATCACCTTCTATGTGGTGGAATCGATCCACTAGAGTGACAAAAACCACACCCTCACCCCCACACTCACAGCAACCACGTGCCCACAGTCAAAACCAGCCACAAGTCAGAAGCCATCACCCTCACCCTCGTAACAAAGCTCCTCGAGCACACGAGCGGCACCTGCAACATTGAGGCTCCTTCCGCTAGTGTTCTGCTCCATCCATGACTTGATTGCCATGACGGCGCGAACGCGGCCTGCAGTAAGGCGGTGGCGCTGCCACGTAATAACGTTCCTCCCCTGACTAAAGGCACGCTCGCTAGCAGCAGAAGTGGCGGGCACAGCCAAATAGTCGCGCGCCATCTCTCTCAAAGCCTCAAAATCCTCCCTCGCCCGCCAGAAAGCCAGCGGGCACCCACCTCTCTGCCTCGGCTCGGCTAAATAGCGGTCCACCTCATCCTGTGCCCCCCCTCAAGCAGCTGCCTCCAGAGCATCCATCTCGTCAAAGATGGAATGCTCAAAGCCCCCTCCCCCACCCCCAGAAGCACCCGTCGTGCCCAATGTCCCACCAGTAACGCTGCTAGGCCCAGTGCCCCCCCCAGTATCGCTCGTGACCTCTCCAGCCTGCCGGCGGCTGCTCACGCGCGCCTGGTACTCGGCCAAGCGCGCACGCACCAGCCGTATCACCGTCCCCTCATCCACATCCTGCACGCTCCTAGCACACCCCCCCACCCCTGTCACGTGCGCAGCATTGCGCGCCTCCCATTTCGGCAGCTGGAAGAAGACGGTCTTGTAGCGGGGGTCAAGAAAGGTGGCAATCACCAGCTCTTCATTCTCCCCGTACTTGTACTTCTTCAGCTTGGCGAGGGCTGCAGAGATGAGAGCCTGTCGGAGGGGAGTGACACCCTCTTTGCGAAACGAGATTTCCAGCTTGTCGAGTAGCTGGTTGTACAGCGGCACGACTGAAGCAGCCGTGGGGTACAAGGAACCCTCGGCTGCCTTCGTGATGGAGTTGAACGGCTCAAGGAACTCCTTGAGCTCGACGAGAGCGTCCCAGTGCACGTCGGTCAGCCGAAGGCCATCCAGCTGTTCGCGTAGCTGGCGGGGGGGGGGGGGGGCTGGTGGATGGAAAAACAGAATGGAGTAAGATTACTGTTTTATGGTCATTCTAGCTAAACAATCAGGGGAGAATACGTTATCCAACATTCCAACCCCAGAGCAGCACCCTTCACTACTGTCACAACACACCAGCCCCTAAACCAGCCCCCACTCCAGACCCATCACTACAGTCACAACACACCAGCCCGGAGTCCAGCCCCCTAACATAACCCTTCATTACAATCACAACATACTGGCCACCAAACCAGCCCCCCACCATGCCCTTTCACCACGATCACAAAACGCCAAACACTCAAACTAGCCCATCACTACAGTCACTCCACACTCACCACCACCAATACTCACGTCTGTCCTCATGAGGAGCAGGGCTAGTGCCTGCTGCAGCTCCAATGCGCGGACGATCATGTCATACGTGGACCCCCATCGTGTCGGCGAGTCGCCAATCAGACGAAGCACGGGTGCATCATCCCGCCGCTTCAAGATGCGCTGCTGCCGTGCAAAGTTCTCCGAGCGCTGGACTGACCACCCGACGAATGAACACACCGCTCGCAGACGCTTCAGCGCCTCTTTCACCTCATCTTTCTTCAATGCCGCCTGCACTGCAATGTTCATGACATGTGCAATGCACCTGCGCAAGCATGGCTCAAAAGCATAAGGGAGAGGAGGTTTGGCATGAACATGGTTGTAGTCGAAGGGTGGCCTATGGCACGGCGGCAATGGCAGATCGGCGTAGGTTCCCTCAGAGCTACGCGTCGAATGACTCACCGCACGTGCCGATCTTTGTCGAACAAGGGAAACTCAATCCTCGCCGCAGCACCCTCCGCTGGATCCCCTGCAAGCATGCGCATCGCCTTGTTGTTGTTCTCAGCATTATCCGTCGTTACGGCAAACAGCATATCGGTCAATCCCCACTCCGCCAGAATACCCTCAAGGGTCTTCGCTATCAGCGACGCAGTGTGTGACCCCTCCAGCTGCACAAAATCCAGGATGTGCTGTCGCAGCTGGAAGTCACTAGTGATCCTGTGCACGGTGACAACCATAAAAGCAAGGTTGTTCTCACTGGTCCAGATGTCCGTACTCAGCGACAGCCGCCCCGCAAGACCATCACCAATCAGCTCCTGCTTCAACTCTGCCCTAGCGGCATCTGCGTATGCCTGCATGTCCCGTGCCAATCGATACCGCGTACCTAGCAACCTCTCGGCCCCAGGGTTCAGCAGTTTGACGAATCGACGGAACTGTTGGGGGATGGAATAGACAACGGCCACGCGACACCTTGAAACGTGAGTGACACGGATTTCAGGGATGGTAATCGAGTGGACGGCAATGTATAGCACAAGTAAAGGATGCGCAACTCGTATGTACTGACAATGACATGCACAATGCGATACTGCAGCCGAACAAACACTCACTGATGGCCGATCAACAAGGCGGAATGGCAGATCGGTGTCAAACATTATATGTTCATATTGTGTAGGCTATAGTGGGTTTAGCCTTAGGGGGTACAGCTTTGTTAGGGTTTCCTACTTGTATCCCCCTCCTACCTAGTTTCATTCATTCTCGTGCTATTCTGGATTCTAACATGGTATCACGAGCCTAGGTTGCTACCTAGGACCGCTTTCTACTATGGGCCCACTATTCCGCTAGAAGCGCCCTCGTGCGCCCTACCTTACGTGCGCCCTCGTGCGCCTTTCTCTGCTAGTGCGCCTTCATGCGCCCTCGTGCGCCCTCGTGCGCCCTCGTGCGCCTTTCTCTGCTAGTGCGCCTTCGTGCGCCTTCGTGCGCCCTCGTGCGCCCTCGTGCGCCTTCGTGCGCCCTCGTGCGCCCTCGTGCGCCCTCGTGCGCCCTCGTGCGCCCTCGTGCGCCCTCGTGCGCCCTCGTGCGCCCTCGTGCGCCCTCGAGCGCCCTCGTGCGCCCTCGAGCTGCCCCTGCAGGTCCGTCAGGCCCCCGAGCCGCCTCTGCAGACCCGTCAGGCCCCCCCCGAGCCGCCTCTGCAGGCCCGTCAGGCCCGAGAGCCGCCCCTGCAGACTCGTCAGGCCCGCACGCAGCCTCTGCCCGACCGCGCGCCGCCCCTGCAGGCTCTCGCCGCCCGCCGCGTCGCCCTGCCCGCGGCGTCGCCGCCTGCCCGCGGCGTCGTCACCTGCCCGCGACGTAGCCCCTGCCCGCGGCGTCGTCGCCTGCCCGCGGCGTCGTCGCCTGCCCGCGGCGTCGTCGCCTGCCTGCGGCGTCGTCGCCTGCCCGCGACGTAGCCCCTGCCCGCGACGTCGTCGCCTGCCCGCGGCGTCGTCGCCTGCCCGCGGCGTCGTCGCCTGCCCGCGGCGTCGTCACCTGCTCGCCGCGTCGCCCTGCCCGCGGCGTCGCCACCTGCTCGCGGCGTCGCCCTGCTCGCGGCGTCGTCACCTGCTCGCCGCGTCGCCCTGCCCGCCGCGTCGCCCTGCTCGCGGCGTCGTCACCTGCTCGCCGCGTCGCCCTGCCCGCGGCGTCGTCACCTTCCCGCCACGTCGCCCTGCCCGCGGCGTCGCCACCTGCCCGCCGCGTCGCCCTGTTCGCCGCGTCGCCCTGACCTAATCCGCGCCTGGCCTCTGGAGCAGCCGCCCCTGCAGCAGCCGCCCCTGGCCACTGGAGCAGCCGCCACTGCAGGAGCCGCCCCTCGCCCCTGGAGCAGCCGCCCCTGCAGCAGCCGCCCCTGGCCCCTGGAGCAACCACCGCTGCAGCAGCCGCCCCTGGCCCCTGGAGCAGCCGCCACTGCAGCAGCCGCCCCTGGCACCTGGAGCAGCTGCCGTCGCGGCCCGGCCTCGCCGTGCAGCAGCTGCCGCGGAGCTCCCTGCTGCGGCCCGGCCCCGCCCTGCAGTTGTAGCGGCCCCGCTGTCGCCACCGTCTTGCGCCTGCCGCGCCGACCACTGGTGAGCATTGCCCTGCCAGCACTGCTACCGCTGCTACTGCTGCTCCTGCCTTTTCTACTCCCACTGCTACTGCTCCTGCTGTTACTGCTGTTACTGCCGCTACTGCTACTACTGCTGCTTCTGGCGTGGCCAGATGCAGCTCCAGGGCCGTGCGCGTGAGTCCCTCACGCCCCAGCAGCTTCGTGAGTGGTACGCTAGTTGGGGCTGTCGGGGTGGCCGTAGTGGTAGTCGCTCTGGAGTGGGTCGGTCGGGAGCTTCTGGTAGTGGAGAGGTGCAGCTGCCGTGTCCTCTTTCGCCCCAGCAGCTTCGTGCGTGGTACGCTAGTTGGGGCTGTCGGGGTGGCCGTAGTGGTAGTCGCTCTGGAGTGGGTCGGTCGGGAGCTTCTGGTAGTGGACAGGTGCAGCTGCCGTGTCCTCTTTCGCCCCAGCAGCTTCGTGAGTGGTACGCCAGTTGGGGCTGTCGGGGTGGCCGTAGTGGTAGTCGCTCTGGAGTGCGTCGTTCGGGAGCTTCTGGTAGTGGACAGGTGCAGCTGCCGTGTCCTGTGAGTGAGGCTGCCGCTCTAGGTGCTAGTGCGTCTGTTGCCCTAGGTGCTGGTGAGGCTACCACTCCCGGTACTCGCGTGTCTGCTACCCCAGGTGCTGGTGAGGCTGCTGCTCTAGGTGCTAGTGAGTCTGCGCCCCCTGGTACTGAGTCGACTGAGGCACTGCACACCTTCACTCTGGACTCAGGTGCTTCTCGCTGTTTCTTTCGTGACCGCACTGCCCTTGAGCCGCTTGCTCGGCCAGTTGCTGTCTCCCTCGCTGACCCCTCTGGGGGTCCGGTCATTGCGACCTCCTCCACTGTCCTTCCTTGTCCTGCGGTCCCGTCGGGCACACTGTCAGGTCTCCACCTCCCCTCGTTCTCTACGAACTTGGTGGGTTGTGCGCTCCAGGACGGGGGTGTTCACCAGTTCACCCCTGCCTACGAGCGCGTGACACACTGCACGTGTGCTCGGACGGGCCGTCACCTGGCTACCTTCACTCGGCAGCCGGGGTCGGACCTGTACACACTGACCACTGAGTCCCCTCAGGTAGCTGCGTCTGCGTCTGCGTCAGGTCAGCTGTCGGCCCCCTGCTCGTGTCGCTCTCTGGCGCACGAGACCGTCCTCTGGCACCACCGACTTGGTCACCCGTCCGTGCAGCGCCTTCGTGCCATGCACAAACGGTACCTTGTCTCTGGTCTTCCCAGGGTTCTCCCTCCCCTCCCACCCTCGCCTGCTCCTCCCTGTCTTCCCTGTGTCGAGGGGCGGCAGCGCGCCGCTCCTCACTCCTCCTCGTTTCCCCCGACGACTGCTCCCTTGCAGACGCTCCACATGGACGTGTGGGGCCCAGCCCGCGTCCGTGGTCAGGGTCAGGAGAGGTACTTCCTGATAGTTGTTGACGACTACTCGCGCTACACCACGGTCTTCCCCTTGCGCACCAAGGGTGAGGTCCCTGATGTTTTGATCCCTTGGATCAGCGCTTCTCGTCTCCAGCTCAGCGAGCGTTTCCACTCGGACTTTCCTGTTCTGCGCTTGCACTCTGACAGAGGTGGTGAGTTCTCCTCCGACCTCTTGGCAGCCTACTGTGCGGAGCACGGCATCCGCCAGTCGTTCACGCTTCCGGCCTCTCCACAGCAGAATGGGGTTGCTGAGCGCCGCATTGGCTTGGTCATGGAGGTCGCTCGTACCTCCTTGATCCATGCGGCTGCCCCCCACTTTCTGTGGCCGTTTGCAGTCCGATACGCTGCGCATCAGCTCAACCTCTGGCCCCGTGTCTCCGTTCCGGAGACTTCGCTGACACTGCGTTGGACAGGAGAGGTTGGCGATGCGTCACGCTTTCGGGTCTGGGGATCTCGAGCCTTTGTTCGCGATACGTCCGCGGACAAGCTCTCCTCCCGCGCTGTTCCTTGTGTCTTCCTTGGCTTTGTCCCGGACGCGTCTGGTTGGCAGTTTTACCACCCCACCTCGCGCCGTGTCCTGCCTTCTCAGGACGTCACTTTCGACGAGTCCGTCCCCTACTACCGCCTCTTCCCCTACCGCACTGCCCCGCTTCCCCCCCCGCCTCTCTTCCTCGCGCCAGGTGCTGCTGTGGTAGACCCCCTCCCCCCTCAGGGTGCCGCTCCCTCAGGTGTGTCCCAGGTAGACCCGGTTGAGCCTGTCGAGGTAGCTGTCGACTCTCGTCCTGCTAGGGGTGCTGAGCCTGAGGGTGCTGAGCCTGAGCGTGCGGAGCCTGGGGGTGCGGAGCCTGGGGGTGCGGAGCCTGGGGTTGCGGAGTCTGGGGGTGCGGAGCCTGGGGTTGCGGAGTCTGGGGGTGCTGAGCCTGGGGGTGCGGAGCCTGCGGGTGCTGAGTCTGGGGGTGCTGAGTCTGGAGGTACTGAGCCTGGGAGTGCTACACCTGGAGGAGCTCTCTCCTCACAGCAGCTGCGTGAGTGGTACTTACAGTACTGCAGCCTCAGGAGAGGTGCTTCTGGAGCCAGGAGTACTGCTGGAGCTGGTGCTAGTGCTTCCCCTCCTAGGCGGGAGCTGCCCTCTCCCCAGCGGCTCCGAGAGTGGTACGCACGGCGCTGCAGTCTTCGGAGTGGCGCTCCTAGTGTCGCGGACCCAGCTGCTGGAGGTTCTGCTGCTGGCGGTGCTTCTGGCGCTGCTGGAGGTGCTGCTGGTGCTGGAGCTGCTGGTGCTGCTGACGCTGCTGGAGGTGCTGCTGGTGCTGGTGGTACTGCTGGTGCTGCTGGAGCTGCTGGAGGTGCTGCTGGTGCTGGGGCTGCTGGAGCTGCTGGAGGTGCTGCTTCTTCTGGAGGTGCTGCTGGTGCTGCGGACTCTGGAGTTGGAGCTGCTGCTGGTGCTGAGGACCCGGGCGTTGGAGCTGCTGCTGGTGCTGCGGACCCGGGCGTTGGAGTTGCTGCTGGTGCTGCGGACCCTGGAGTCGGAGCTGCTGCTGGTGCTGAGGACCCTGGAGGTGGAGCTGCTGCTGGTGCTGAGGACCCTGGCGCTGGTGTCTCTGCTGGTTCTGGAGACGCTGCGCGGCCGCGGCCGTACTTCGTTCCGCTCCTTCAGCAGGTTCTTGGTCAGCCTCCTCCTCCTTGTCCTCCTCCCTCCTTAGAGTGTCCTCCGTCTGTCCAGTCGCAGTCACAGTTACCGTCTGCCTCCCCTCTCCCTGGTCCTTCTCCTTACACTGGTCCGACTGGAGGTCTTACGGAGCGTCGTGAGCCTGAGTCTCGTCCTGCGTCGCCTGAGTCTCGTCGAGCGTCGCCTGTTCGTGCTGCTCACACTGGTCGTCGTGTCCCGCGTCAGCGTCCTCCTGCTGTCCCAGGCACTCACCAGATGGCGCTTCGTCCTTCCACTGCTCCCCAGCGTGTCCCTCTCCCGGCTCCTCCTGCGTCCTCTCTTCCTGCTCTTGCTGACCCTGAGTCTGACTCTCTTCGTGCTGCCAGTCCTACTGTCACGCGTCTCCTGGCTACTGTTGTCACTGACCCTTCCTTTGAGTCCACTGCTTCGTCTGCCTTAGTTGCCGAGCTTGTCGACTTTGTTGCCACTTGTCGTCTAGACTACGCCGCTAGCCTAGTTGCTGAGTCTGAGTCTGTCTGTCCTCCGTCCGTCGTGTCAAAATACAATCTTAGCTTAGGAACGGGTTTAAGGAGGGCCTAGGCTTAGTAGCCTAGGCCAAGCAAGGGTGGAGGTCAAGGCCAATGGTGTCGAGAGAAATTGACCAAACAAGTTAGCTTCACTAAAAACAAAGCATACAAGATATAGTCGAGAGACACAAACAAGAGGTGCACCACCAACAGCAAGGACACATAACTACACTAAAGCTAAAGCTACAGGCAGTTATGAATATATATAAAATATATATCGCGACACACCCCCTTAACTGTCTGCAGCACATAGCTAGAGTGAGTCACACCCCCTGAAGGGGAATAGCACGCGCAACAGAAGACGGCAGAGGGGTAAGTGAGGAGGAGGAGGCGAGAGAGAGAGAGGAGAGGAGAGGAGATAAGAACGGAGGAGGAGGTGAGTGTGGGATGAGGAGAGGAGGTGGGGGGGTGGCCGCGGCGTCCCCTCTTACTAACCCCCTTTTACGAAGGGGGGGGTTGAGTGGGGGATGAGGAGAGGAGGTGGGGGGGTGGCTGCGGCGTCCCCTCTTACTAACCCCCACATCCCCACCCCAAACAACCACCCCCCTTTAACCTCACCCCCCATTTCAGCCGCCCCCTGGAACCGCACTCCTTCCCCCCTTTCTCCCTCCAGACCCCTGCCCACCCACAGTAGTCCCTGCACAGACTGACACGTCGGGGGTGAGTGTGCTCTTGGCACGGACGTCCTTGAGGACAGGCAGGAGGAGTTTGAGTGCTTTGCCGCTGCTTTACCTCATCTCGTGTCCATGCTAGTTGCCCCTGAGGGAGACCCGGATGCACCAGACATCCCGACTCCGCGCTCTTACGCAGAGGCGATAGAGGGTCCCTACTCCTCTCAGTGGCAGACAGCCATGGACGCAGAGATGGCTTCCTGGAAGTCCACAGGCACCTACGTCGACGAGGTTCCCCCACCTGGGGCGAACATCGTCAGTGGCATGTGGATTTTCAGGGTGAAGCCGCCGCCGGGTTCTCTGCCTGTCTTCAAGGCGCGTTACGTTGCACGAGGCTTCAGTCAGCGAGAGGGAGTTGACTTCTTCCAGACCTTCTCCCCGACCCCGAAGATGACCACTCTTCGGGTTCTGCTGCACGTCGCCGCTCAGCGTGACTACGAGCTCCACTCTCTTGACTTCAGCACTGCTTTCCTACAGGGCAGCCTGCACGAGGAGATCTGGCTGCGCCGCCCACCTGGCTTCACTGGGTCGTTCCCTCCTGGTACCCAGTGGAGCCTCCGGCGGCCAGTCTACGGTCTCCGACAGGCGCCACGTGAGTGGCACGACACACTGAGGACTGCACTTGCGGCTCTTGGGTTCGCTCCTTCTACTGCTGACCCGTCGCTGTTTCTACGCACCGACACCTCGCTGCCGCCGTTCTACATCCTCGTGTACGTCGACGACTTGGTCTTTCCCACTGTAGACACTGTGGCACTCGCCCACGTGAAGTCGGAGCTGCAGAAGAGACACACGTGCACAGACCTGGGTGAACTGACAAGCTATCTTGGCTTGCGGATCACCCGGGACAGAGCACGGCGCACCATCACCTTGACTCAGTCACACATGGTGCAGCAGGTCCTTCAGCGCTTCCGCTTCACGTACTCCTCGCCTCAGCCCACTCCTCTGCCTACCGGTCACTCGCTCTCAGCTCTGCCTTCGGATGAGTCCGTAGAGCCGAGTGGCCCGTATCCAGAGCTTGTGGGCTGCCTCATGTACCTGATGACCTGCACTCGACCTGACCTTGCATACCCTCTTAGCATCCTTGCACGCTATGTCGCTCCTGGCCGTCACCGGAAGGAGCACATGGATGCCGCTAAGAGGGTGTTGCGCTACTTGTGCAGTACGTCGGGCATGGGGCTAGTGCTTGGAGGACGAGACCGAATTGTACTCACTGGGCACTCAGACGCGTCTTGGGCTGACGACCAGGCTACTCAGCGGTCGTCTCAGGGTTACACCTTCAGCCTTGGCTCTGGTTCAGTTTCTTGGCGTTCTACACGCTCGTCTTCTGTTCTCAGCTCCAGTTGTGAGGCTGAGATCTACGCCACAGCCATGGCTGCACAGGAGTTACGCTGGCTCACCTACCTGCTGACCGACTTGGGAGAACGGCCTCGTTCTCCTCCAGTGCTGTACGTCGACAACAAGGCTGCCATTGCCTTGTGTGAGGAGCACAGACTGGAGCACAGAACGAAGCATATCGCTCTGCGCTACTTCCTTGTTCGAGAGCTGCAGCAGCGCGGTCAGCTTCGTCTGCGTTACGTGGCCACTCGGGCCAACACTGCTGATGTGTTCACCAAGGCGCTTCAGCCTTGTGACCATCAGCGCTTCTGTACTGTTCTAGGCCTCGTGCCTACTGGGCCTCACTTGCTTACTTCTTGACTCTGCTTGTACTGTGATCTCTATATATATACCTGCTTGTTTACTCTTGCTAGATTGTGATCACTGTATCTCTTGTTATACTATCAACCTGCATGTGAACTGGTCTTGTGACCACTTGCTTGTGCTCAGAATTTGTGTGGTTTCCTTGAGATCCACCCTGAGCTTGCTTTGCTTTGCTTTGACTGGTCTTGTGACCATCTGGTTGTCTCCCACTTAGCCTATGGGGGTGTGTCAAACATTATATGTTCATATTGTATAGGCTATAGTGGGTTTAGCCTTAGGGGGTACAGCTTTGTTAGGGTTTCCTACTTGTATCCCCCTCCTACCTAGTTTCATTCATTCTCGTTCTATTCTGGATTCTAACAATCGGCGTCGGCGAACAACTCCACCAGTGCAGAGCGCAACTCGTCCTCCTGCACCCGGGGGGTGATGTATGCGGACATGCTGGCAGCACGAATCCCACCATTCGCGCACCCCCCCACCCCCTCCGCGGTTCCGCCCGTAGCCGTGGCTAGGATGTTCGGCCAGCTTGCCGCGTGTTCCCATGCTCCATCCCCATCGGGCACGACTGGGCCCTTCCCATCCATACCGTAACCCCCAAGAGGGAATTGCAGATCTCCAGGCTTCGCCGGATCCAAGAACCGACGAACCCAAATCTGCACGTTAGGGTAATGTTTACGTTTCACGTGCCTCCACCCTGCACTAGTGTTACCCGACCCCGAAGCAAGCAAGTCCCCACATTTACGACACGCACGGCAATCATCGACCATATCGCCAAACATTCCCACAAGTAACCCCGGGTAGGATTTTCCAGCCAACTCCTCGACAACCGGATCCGTAGGCGTCACCTCCCTCGGACACTTCGTCCTACGCGGCCTGCCGCCCGACGTCCCTCCGCCCCGACTGGTGCCAGCAGCTCGCACCGGCGTCCCCCCACCCCCATCGTTGCGCTGTGCGCTGCCACGTGACGGGCCTGCCTCTACTGGGGCTGAACCCTCCGCTCTACCGTCGCCACCCCCCTGTGCAGCACTACCAACCCGCCCACCTCCTCGTCCACCTCTCGAGGTACCGCCGGCGCGATTCTCACCGTGGACAGCAGTTGCTCCTTCGCTTGAACGACCCTGCACCCGGCCAGCCCGTCCCCGACCCCGACCTCGTCCCCGTGCACTCCTTCCTCCTCCGCGTCCTACACTAGTTTCCCCGACCCCCTCCTCCTCCACCTGCACCTCCACCTCCACCTCGTTCTCGCCAGCCGAATCCGCTGCTGCAGCTGCCACCTCCTCCGCTGTAGGCACGTATGCACCGTCGACGTCTTCTTCAACGGGCGGTTGCCCTGAAACCATGGGTTGAAGGGGAATATTTACCCACCCAGAGCCGTTCCCCTCAGAGATCGCCGCAGCATCCGCCCCTCCAGATCCGACGGCCGCCGGCGTAGCACTGCCGAGCATGACGCCACGGGTGCGCGTTGAAGTGTGCTTTACGGAGCGTGGTAGCGAGGCCGCTAGCACCACGCCGATGCGCCTTTAGTACCACTCTAATGCGCCCAGTAGAGTAGAGCAAGCCTGGCTGGGACCTTGCGTTTAATGCTGCCTTAGGGGCTGGAAATCGGGAGCTGACGTGGGGTGGCGACGGGGGACCAATTAAACACTTCAATGGGCAATGATGTAGAATCCTTCTATTACTAGCTGTAAACGACTCTGTAGGCGATTCTTATAAAAAACGCTAAGCGACTATGAGAGCCTTTTTCGCACCAAAAGGCACCAAGCTTGAGACATTACACTTCTACTAGTAGTTGCTTTGCTTGCTACTAAGTCGGGCTATGTCTTGGGAAAACCTAACGAGTGAGTGAGTGACGAGAGTTGATTGAATGTTGGATGGATGGAATCTGGAATCTGGATTGGATCTGTTCAGTGATGTGATCTTGTTGGAACTAGGTCGACATTTCCAACTTGTAACCCTGTGCACAGCGCGAGGGGTTAGCGTAACCCGAGCCACCCACGGGTAAATGGCCCGAGCACGGGTCGGGTATACCCGCCCCGTCGGGTATCAAAAACCCGACCCTAAATACACGGGTCGGGTAGCGGGTATTCAAAACCCGAGACGAGTAGTCCTACCCGACCCGATCGGGTAGTCCAAACGTGACTAATTAATCGACCCGTCAAAATGGTCGGGTCGGGTCGGGTTACCCGACCCGGCTCGGGTCAATGCCCAAGCCTACCCATCCTACATCAAGTTCCTTGCCTTCCCAACTCCCCTCCCAGCCACGCCTCTCCCCGCCTTGTGCCTGAGATGGATAACAACGACGCTAACGACGTCGCCTGAATCCTGATCCCGATCCCGGCCCGTCATGCAGCTCACGCCCCATGACGGGTCTTCAATTTCTGCGCGGGGTACATCGTTCCCACGTGCTCGAAGGCAAGCAACATTCCAGTTGGGGCGACGAATGGGATAATCCGCCACGCCGACGGGATCAAGGTGTGGGTTCGTTCCCCACGCCGCCGGGAAGACAATGATGTACACGACGTGAACAAGGAGTGCGTTGCTTCGCCCCGCCCTGGCATTGCTGAACCGGCCGCGACCGTACCGACTGAAGTTATTGACGCACCAACGCATGAGTCCACCGTCTCACAGACGCAGAAGAAGCGGCGGTTCACGTAGTCTGTGCGCCGTTGACATCTGGCGCAGGCAGAAGAAGCGTCGCCCCGCCAAGAAACCAGTGCACGCCCCCCCACCACTTAGCGCAAAGGGGAAGGATAAGGTTGAGTCTGATTCGGAGGGCGAGCATGAGTAGAAGTGTAGTGTAGAGAGCTAAGTTAAGTTAGGTGGTGTATTCAAATATGGGGCTGCTATAAGTAGTACATTTTAAATCTAGCCCCCTCCCATACAAAAATGAACACAAGCAATGCAAGTACAAAACGCGTAACACCAATCTCCAAAACGAAAACCTATATGGTCAAACAGCAAACTTAACTAACATCAGAGTAGAGAAAATTATTACTCTGATGTGCCAGGGTTTATTTTTGAAAGTATAGGGTTACTCTGACAAATCAGAGTAAGGCGCAGGAACAACCCTAGATTTCAGAGTTGGGAAAAAAACTACTCTGGATATCAGAGTACTTAAAATCCAAAAGTAGGCCCTGACCGGCGCGTGTCGAAATAGTAGGAAGGAGTGTAGATCAGGTCAAGGGAGGGGGTACAAGGAGAGTGTCAAGATGATTTCTTTACCCCCTACAGCTAGCCCCAATATAGCCTAGATATATCTAAGCACATATGTTTTGAGACACCCCCATAGGCGAAATGGGGGATAGCTAGAGCATGCACGGCAGGGCTCTCGCTAGCAGAAATTTTCTGTCTGTTTGTCTGATAATCAGACAGTTTTTTTAGGTTTCATCTGATTTTCCAGTCAGCATCAGACAAAATATTTCTTTTGCCTGGGGGGGGCGTCTGATGCATCAGATGTCCTCGGATACTAGGGAGAGCCCTGATGCACTGGTCACAAGACAAGTCAAGAGAAGAAACAAAGCAAAGCTCAGGGTGGATCTCAGATCACCACACAATCCAAGCACAAGCAAGCGGCCACAAGGCCAGTTCACATGTAGATATAAAAAAGCACAAGCAGTACAGCGATCACAGCCTAGCAAGAGTAAGCATGCAAGTACATATATATGTATATATATATACATTACAGTACAACGCAAAGTCAAGCAGTAAACAAGGGAGGCAGAGTAGGCACAAGGCCTAGAGCAGTGCAGAAACGCTGATGATCACCAGACACAAGTGCCTTGGTGAAAATATTAGCAGTGTTGGCCTGTGAGGCCATGTAAGCAAGACGAAGCTGACCACGCTACTGTTCCTCTTGTGCGAGGAAGTAACGCAGATCAATATGATTCATTCTGTGCTCCAGTCTATGCTCTCGACACAGGGCAATCATGGCCTTATTGTCGACGTACAGGACTGGAAGAGAACGAGGCCGCTCACCCATGTCGGTCAGAATGTAGGTCAGCCAGCGTAACTCCTGTGCAGCCATGGCCCCCGCGTAGATCTCAGCCTCACAACTAGAGTTGATATCAGAAGATGAGTGGGTAGACCTCCAGGAAACAGAAGCGGCGCCAAGACAGAAAGCGTAACCCTGTGACGATTGCTAAGTCGCCTGGTCGTCTGCCCAAGAAGCGTTTGAATGTCTTGTGAGTACAATTGAGCCTCGTTCTCCAAGCACAAGCCCCATGTCCGATGTACTGCACAAGTAACGCAACACTCTCCTAGAAGACCGTCAGTGCTCTGGTTAGTGTCTCCCGAGTGCAACGTAGCGCGCCAGAATGCTGAGAGGGTACGCAAGGTCAGGTCGAGTATAAGTCATCAGGTACATGAGGCAACCCACAAGCTCTGGATACAGACCACTCGGCTCTACGGACTCGTCCAAAAGTGGAGCTGAGAGCGAGTGGCCTGTAGGCAGAGGAGTGGACAGTGGCGAGGAAAACTGAATGCCAAAGTGCTGAAGGACCTGGTGCACCATGTGTGACTGAGTCAGAGTGATGGTGCGCCGCGCTCTGTACCGAGTGGTGAGATTCCAAAAATTGCGAAGTAGTCGACAGCAAAGTCCACGAGCTCAGTAACTAGGGCGGACACAGCAGTAGACTCAAAGGAAGGGTTAGTAACAAGGGTGGCCAGGAAGCACGTGACAGTAGGTCTAGCAGCACGAGCAAGGTCAGACCCAAGATCAGGAACGTAAGGAAGAGAGGACGCCGGAGGAGACGACAGAAACACGCAGTGGAACAGAGGAAGGACGAAGTGATATAGTGCGTGTACCAAGGACTGGTGGAGGACGAGGACGACGAGTACGACTAACAGTGCGAACAGGGGAGGCAGGACGAGACTCGGGCTCACGACGCTTTGTCAAGGATTTTGTCTGCTCAGGGTAAGGAGAAGGAGCAGGCAGGGAGCTAGGCAGTATTGGCGGCTGTGACTGGTCAAGCGGAGGGCACATTAGAGGTGGAGTAAGGCCAGTGGAAGACGGAAGACTAAGAACCTGACGAAGCGCCGAGTCAGGTGGTGGCAGTGACGTCTGCAACTCCGGGAAGAAGAACGGTCGCCGGTGCGCAGTACTCACAATACCAGAGCCTCCAGCTCCTTTACCTCCAGCACTAGCACCTCCAGCAGCTCTAGCACCTCTAGCTCCAGCACCTCCAGCACCAGCAGCTCTGTTACCTCTAGCACCTCCACCTCCAGTACCTCCAGCACCTCCAGCTGAAGCACCTCCAGCACCATCAGCTCCAGTACGTCCAGTCGCCCTAGCTCTAGCACCTCCAGTACTAGCAGCTCCAGTACCTCCAGCTCCAGTACCTCCAGCACCTCAAGCTCCAGCACCTTTGGTACCAGTAGCACCAGTACCTCTAGCACCTCCAGCTCCAGCACCTCGAGTACCTCCAGGTCCAGCACATCCAACACCTCAAGCGCCAGTACTCCAACCAGAGCGGCCTCACCGAATAACCCACTCGCGAAGCTGCTGCGGCGAGAGAGTCTCCTATCGACGAGACTGCCGCTGCTGACCAATGCTAGAACCTCTAGTAGGAGCACCCAGGACTCCACAGCAAGAGGTTGCGGAAGCGGCAAAGACGGTCGAAGCGCAAAACCAGGAGGGGTCTCCAAGCGCGGGAAGCAGCGGGTGGCCGCTGTGTCGTCAGCAGCAGTGTCACCTCCCTCAGCTGGGCTAGCGGTGTCAAAGAAGACCTCCAAAGGCTCAACCAAGGGCGGTGGGTCGACTTGAGACACACCTAAGGAAGCAGGGCCCTGTAGGGGTAGGGGGTATACTTGGGGGGGGGGGGCTGGAGCTAGGAAGAGGGGCAGCGGGGGGACACGAGAAGATGCATGGGGTTGGGGACAGTAGAAGCAAATCAACTCATCAAAGGTGACGTCATGGGAGGACAGAACACGACGCGAGGCAGGGTGGTAAAATCGTTAAGGCGGGGCGGCGGTGGGAAAGCCAAGGAAGACACAGCGGAGAGTGCGAGGAGAGAACTTTTCCGCGGTAGGATCGCGGACAAGGGCAAGCGAGCCCCTGACCCAAAACGCCGACGCATCGCCAACATCCCCCGTCCAACGTAGTGTAGGCAAGGTCTCTGGCACAAAGACATGGGGCCAGAGGTTGAGCTGATGCGCGGCGTATCGGACCGCAAACGACCACAGAAAATGGGGAGCAGCTGCATGGATCATGGAGGTGTGAGCAACCTCCATGATCAAGCTAATACGACACTCAGCAATCCCATTCTATTGTGGAGAGGCTGGAAGCGTGAACGACTAGACGATGCCTCCCGTACGACAAAAGTCATCAAGGAGGCGGGAGGAAAACTCACCGCCTCTGTCAGAGTGTAGTCGCAGGACGTGAAGGTCCTGCCGAAACCGTGCGCTCAGCTGGTGACGAGCAGTGCGGATCCATGGTATCAAGACGCCG